GAATGCGTTTTCGCATTTAACTTCCTAAAGTCAATTACTGGGGCCAAGTACCATCCTTCTTAGGTACTAGTATCAAGTGTGCATTCCAAGGGAATTGCTAGGTGCAATAACTCCATCATCAAGCATTTGATTTATCAATCTTCTGCGACAGCAACTTGTGAATGAGGCATTCTGTACGCAGGATGTAGATAGGTCTAGTACCAGGTTCAAGTGAATACGATGGGACAATAAGTTCGTTATACCCATCTTCTCACCTGGTAAGGCAATGGCTGTACGACGTTTGTTCAACAGAGTCAACAAACGCTTGACTTCATGGGAAGTCAGTGGAGCTAGTCTTTCTCCTCAACTGGTGGAACAGATTGATCCAGTGAAGTGGATGAGGTCTCCCCGGCAGAAATAACACCGACCCACTGGTCAGGTGACAACTCATCCTCTACCTGAACAGGGTAAGGATAGTGAACAAGGTCAACAAGATTGGTATTTGCTCAGAGGCAAACACTGTGACCAGAAGTGTTGGCCAGAAAGAAATGGATCTTACTATCTCTTACAACATGTAAGGATGGTTCAACAAATAGACCTTTTACTTTGCAGGAATCACTGTCAACTAGGACGTTATCACCATCTGGAACACTAGGAACAACTACAGACACTCTAGTGAGAGCACTAGCCGCAACAGAGACGTCTTTCTGCAGACGGCATGTGACATCAACAAGAGATGGCATTACTAGTTTCAAGTAATCGTTTTCTGACAAGGCATCCCCTTTGGAGAAACTACTACTCGAACTAGCAGTCATTGCAGGGATAGGTTGTGCACTCAAGGCAATCTGAGTGTCCTTGGACACTTGAGGCATCGGACTATCCTGCAAGTCTGAAGGTATAGGTGGAACACTGATGGGAGTGACAGAACTACCAGTGCCTGACCGCTTGGGTACGCTACTGGAGAATGCATTAGCTTGTAAGGACTTAATCCGTACATCATACTCTGCAGCAGTATAACAGATTTCTGATCCAAGCTGGTAACCCCAGAATGGAACGATCAAGTCGTCAATTTGGGCATGCCATCGATAAGGGTCGAGCACTATACGTAAGTCTCGCATGGAAGCAAAATCCCAGTAGAAGGTACGAAAAGGGAAAGTAATCCCGGTCGACAACAAGGAAGGAAGCAGTGAAGTCTCTACCTTGGATATAGAAAAGGTTAGGAAGTCCGACCTCGGACACGCAGGTGAGAACCAGCTACTCCACTAAGGGAGGACACATGAGTCGGTTCTACGAGGACATGTCGTAACTGCTTATCCTTAAACAAACTAGACCTAATAATATTGACTTGCGCACCAGAGTCCATGAACAAATGAACGGGCGCATTATGAACAGATGCTTGCACTATAGGGCCTATGGTTGCTTTGGGAAAAGTTATGTGCAAACAAAAAGGTGGATTGTCATCAGAAAAGACTTGTTCTACTTCATCCCCAAAATCATCTATGCCAGAGACATGTGAAGCAACATCATCAGCAGGATTATCATTCTCGAGACTGCTTAAGGCTTCAAAGGAATTGTGAACGGGGATGGTGTACTCATTATCACCTACTGTCACCATGGGACGGATTGACTGGGGCGCTCGAATTCCCCCGAATTGGAAGAATGAGCCTGGTTCTGGTTAGTTTGAGAATTGGAAGAATAAGCCTGGTTCTGGTTATTTTGAGAACCACGATATCTGTTTCCTCTACAGGTTCTGCGGTTGGAACGGCCACAGAAAGACCTAGAGTACTGAAGGTTATAGAGAGCATTGCACTCAAATGTGTCATGTCCATGTATTCTATGATAAGTACAACCCCCGGAATCTGAAAGGTGGCTTCCAGAGATACACCCGTCGCCCGAAAGACACCCAAATCCACCCTCCGGGATACAGGAGAGGGATCGGGACATCCCCAGGCAATCCAGATTCCATGGGAAACTACGCCGCCACCTAGAATTTCAATGGAATGGGATGGACCCAGGTACCCTTTCCCCTACCTAGGAACTAGCATGCCTGTGGGGAAAAAATCCCAAAGGCCAAAAAGGAAGGGCAAAAGGGAGGGGTGGGGAGGAGGAGGAGGAAAGGAAAAAAGGGAGGATGGGATAGGGAAGGGGGGATTGGGGGGTAATTAGGTTCGGTCTGAGGAAGGAGACCGACAGGTCTAATTCCTCAGACCAAGAGCCTCTTCACCACAACAAGGAGCCCCCCTTGAAGTGGGCTTGATTTGAAGCCGCTAGAATTTATGAGTATATATACGTCAAACATGGTGGCTCGTAAGACGTATATACAGGAGGGCCCCACTTATACGGCAGGTTAGGTTCCAGGCTACCGCCGTAAAGCGGAAATCGCCGTAAAGTGGAACACCCTTTTTTTCCACTTATAAATGCATACAAACACTAGATAACAAGTTTACACTAACATATATTAAGTTAGCAATAGAACCAGGCATCAAAAAACAATAAAAAGGTACAATACACACATAGTGCACTCATTACTTACCTTAAAATATTTATAGTCTTAATCTAGGGTGAGACAAGTAGTATTTATTGTAAGAAATCAAGTGTGGTATGTATTGTAATAGCCAGGCTACCTTACAGGCCACCCCACCCACACATACTATTCTATGATATTTAAGCATCCCAGAGCGATAAAATGTATATACAGTTCACTCATTACTTACCTTAAAATATTTGTAGTCTTAATGTAGGGTCAGGAGTAAGTAAATGAGATAAAACGAATAAATGAGAGAGAGAAAGAATGAGTACATGAGGTAACAGAAGCAGAGTTATGTAAACAAACCAGGCTCCCACATCTTATATTTATGTTTATTTATTCTATTGTGGGGTGTATTTATCATCTTTTTATGTTATGTATCGTGTTTATTATATAATTTTGAAAAAAATATCATGGCTGGATTAATGAAAATGTGTATATTACCGTAATATACGACATTTAATGAGACTCCGTGACTATTGTTATTATCACCACTTGTGGAAGTCGTCTGCTACCACAGCTCACATTTATGTTTATTTATTCTACTGTGGGGTGTATTTATCTTATTTATATGTTATGCATCGTGTTTATTATATAATTTTGAAAAAAATATCATGGATGGATTAATGAAAATGTGTATATTACCGTAATATACGACATTTAATGAGACTCCGTGACTATTGTTATTATGGCGTCACTTGTGGAAGTCGTCTGCTACGACATCTCACATTTATGTTTATTTATTCTACTGTGGGGTGTATTTATCTTATTTATATGTTATGCATCGTGTTTATTATATAATTTTGAAAAAAATATCATGGATGGATTAATGAAAATGTGTATATTACCGTAATATACGACATTTAATGAGACTCAGTATTGTTATTATCACCACTTGTGGAAGTCGTCTGCTACGACATCTCACATTTATGTTTATTTATTCTACTGTGGGGTGTATTTATCTTATTTATATGTTATGCATCGTGTTTATTATATAATTTTGAAAAAAATATCATGGATGGATTAATGAAAATGTGTATATTACCGTAATATACGACATTTAATGAGACTCAGTATTGTTATTATCACCACTTGTGCAAGTCGTCTGCTACGACATCTCACATTTATGTTTATTTATTCTACTGTGGGGTGTATTTATCTTATTTATATGTTATGCATCGTGTTTATTATATAATTTTGAAAAAAATATCATGGATGGATTAATGAAAATGTGTATATTAACGTAATATACGACATTTAAATGACTCGATGTATGTAAGTTTATTTAGGTACAGGTATACATAAGTATAATTATCAGAGTATATATAAAATATGAAATAACTTTTAAAAACATTTGAAATTTTGGAGTTTCCAGACAAAATGGAGAGACTTAGTGCTTACTGAGCTCATGGAGAATGTAAACAAACAGGGTGGGGCACGGTGACCGTATTAGAAAGTCAGGTGGGGGGAGCCGTATAGTGAGTTTTGGTCATAATTTGAAATGTCCGTATTAGCGGAACGCCGTAAAGCGGAACGCCGTAAAGCGGGGCCCTCCTGTATATGACCGAAACAGTCAAAGGGTTAAGAGTTAAAGACAAGCTCTCTGGAATGGATTAATGTCATTAACTGAGGATCTACTGTACTAGTATCATTGTTTGAAACCCTTTTAACACACAACAATTTTATTTTTGTCTTTTTGTATCTGATAATGCTCTCTTAATATCAGGATCATTTGAGGTAAAAGTATTACTTCCATGTTGTATGATGGTAAACAGGCAAGTTCGCCTACTAATATTAACTATAATTCATCTGACTCAATGTGTTGCCTGGTTTACCTTAGTGTACTGATGCTAAGAGTCAACGTTAGATAATTTCTGATACACATTAATGCAAAATAGTTTACACAATTCATTATGACAATTAAATTTAATGTTTTATAAATAAAATGTGTTAATATGCAAAGTAGTTGTCTTGTGCATCTTGTAATAAAAAAAATTATTGTTTATGATCACCCAGAGATCATGTATATAAATATAAATAAGTTATTGTCATATTAGTCTTAAGATTGTCTTAAGTTTGTCAGAAATGTTCTGCAGAACAATGGTCTTTCTGCATGAACACCTAAATGTCACCCATCTCTGTACACTGTATCATGCTTAAATACAGATTATGATAATTATGATAACATGAGCTTAGTTCACTGTCTAGTATTGAAGCATTTCTCTATGCTCATGTTGAGGATTATGAACACCTTAATCTTTGTCCACCAAAACACTAGGTTAATTTTCTACACTTATTTTGGGGAAAATATAATGTATATTGTATAAGTGTACACTCATTGTATTTAACACAATAACTGCACTAATTTGTTTATCATTATATTGCTTACAAAACTTGTTTACAAGTTTATTGTAAACAAAATGATGAAAATATTAGTGCGGTTATTGTGTTGAATACAATGGTACCATATGGTACAATGGTGCCATATGGTACAATATGGTACAATGGCACATGATACAGTATTTTCCATATATATATGAATTGTTTGTACTGTATATTAGCTCTCATGAGTACACACGACTGCTCTTTCTTTTTTAAATATATAAGATATTCTGAACATTAATACAACTTATCTCCTCTATGAACTTATATGATTTATATGACTGACATTTCATTAACATATTTCACTCTCAACTGTTATGGTATATCTCTTTTATATATTCTGATGAGTTTATAACTAAAATATTTCTTAAACATTAAACACTAACATGTTCTATCTCTTGAATGTACTCTTGTATGTCTCACAAGTCTGATTTTTTATTAAAAGATTTCAGACACTCAGAACATTGATATGGTTTATCTCCTGTATGCACTCTCATATGTCTCACAAGACTGCCTTTTTCACTAAAACATTTCAGACACTCTGAACATTTATATGGTTTATCTCCTGTATGTACTCTCATATGTCTCACAAGACTGCCTTTTTCACTAAAACATTTCAGACACTCTGAACATTTATATGGTTTATCTCCTGTATGTACTCTCATATGTCTCACAAGACTGCTTTTTGCACTAAAACATTTCAGACACTCAGAACATTCATATTGTTTATCTCCTGTATGTACTCTCATATGTCTCACAAGACCGCCTTTTTCACTAAAACATTTCAGACACTCAGAACATTCATATTGTTTATCTCTTGTATGTACTCTCATATGTCTCACAAGACCGCCTTTTTCACTAAAACATTTCAGACACTCAGAACATTCATATGGTTTATCTCCTGTATGTACTCTCATATGTATCACAAGACTGCTTTTTGCACTAAAACATTTCAGACACTCAGAACATTCATATGGTTTATCTCCTGTATGTACTCTTATATGTCTCACAAGATGGCTTTTTTGATTAAAACATTTCAGACACTCAGAACATTGGTATGGTTTATCTCCTGTATGTACTCTCATATGCATCACAAGATAGCTTTTTTTATTAAAACATTTCAGACACTCAGAACATTTATATGGTTTATCTCCTGTATGTACTCTCATATGTCTCACAAGATTGCTTTTTCCACTAAAACATTTCAGACACTCAGAACATTCATATGGTTTATCTCCTGTATGTACTCTCATATGTATCACAAGATAGCTTTTTTTATTAAAACATTTCAGACACTCAGAACATTCATATGGTTTATCTCCTGTATGTACTCTCATATGTCTCACAAGATTGCTTTTTAGACTAAAACATTTCAGACACTCAGAACATTCATATGGTTTATCTCCTGTATGTACTCTCATATGTCTCACAAGACTGCTTTTTAGACTAAAACATTTCAGACACTCAGAACATTCATATGGTTTATCTCCTGTATGTACTCTCATGTGTGTCACAAGATTACTTTTTATACTAAAACATTTCAAACACTCTGCACATTGATATGGTTTATCTCCTTTATGTACTCTCATGTGTACCACAAGATAGTTTTTTCCACTAAAACATTTCAGACACTCAGAACATTGATATAATTTGTCTCCTGCATGTACTTCCATGTGTCTCACAAATTGCATTTTTCAGTAAAACATTTCAAACACACTGTGCATTGGTATGGTTTATCTCCTGTATGTACTTTCATGTGTACCACAAGATGGCTTTTTCTACTAAAACATTTCAGACACTCTGAACATTCATGTGGTTTGTGTTCTATATGTTTTTCCATATTTTTTAAATGAAAGTATTTCATTTAAAATATTTTAGTCATACAACAGTTGTAAAATCAATCTTCCTTATGTACTCACATGTCTATTTCATGATTTTTTTAACTATTTTGGACACTGAGCACATGGTTTTCCTTATGAACATATTCCCATGTTAAGATTTACTTAGGCAAAACTTTTCCTACTAATGAGCACTAATAAAGTTCATATTGTTTGTTAAAACACTATCATAATTTTTGTTGTGTTAAAACATTAATATATGTACTAGAACACTGCAGATACACTCAACATTATTATTATTATTTGCTCTTGTGTTTAAACAAATTTTTCTATCTTCTTTTATTGACCCTTTGAGGGATCAGACCCCCAATCTGAAAATTCTCCACAGGGTCTAAAAAATATTATTTTTTTCTTAGGAAATCATAGAGAATCTTTTTCTGAATGTTTTAAAATAAAGAGTACATAATTTTATAAAGAAATGATGAAGTTATACTCCTGCAAATTTTGCCGTGTCAGAAATATTTATGCACTGGCAATTTTGCCCACTTTGAGTCCTGTTTTTGGCCAATTACATAGTTCCATTAGACCAAATTCTTAGCTATTTCACTAGTATATGTTCCATATTGTCTACTAAGCACATAAAATTGACCAATTTAACTATTTCAACTTCTTAATAAAGTGACTGGATATTGGAAATATGGCCAATTTCACACAAAATTCAAAATATTCCAATATCAAAATATGGTCCAGAAAAATCAATGCAGGCAACCTGGCACTAAACTATCATTTCTACTATTTTTTTAGTTATATTTGCAGGCTTTGCAGATGAATTTCATTTTGATTTTTATTCACAAATTATTTTTATGCACACCAAAAAATAGAAAAGTTATTGCTATGCAATATTGTAATAATTGTATAAATAATATCAGTGCATTCAGTAGCACACATTAAACCCACCAGCTGACGTGCACTGGACGAATGATGTGATTATTTACCCTCTAATATCAGCAAAAATAGAACATTTCTATTACTCTGAACTCAATTTCAAGCTATTTTCAGTACTAAAATCCATCAAAGTCGTTTCTGTAATACATCTTCTATTCTATCAAATTAGATCAAGAAACAGTGAATGCTACTATAAAAACATGAAAATACACCAAAAATTTGCTGTCTTAATCCAAAAACACAGTTGCACTTTGTTTTTTCCTCATGCACTGCCTGCTGTAGGATTTCTTTTATATGGTGCACACTTACCACATCGATGCATTCTCTCATATTTAGGCCCAAATTTACTGCTCACAGCTTATCTGAGTAAGCTGAGCTCATGATGTAGTACTACAGCTTAAAAATCATAGAACTACAAAACGAACCCTCAAAGAATTAACTGCCATGCATTTTTAGATAGAATTCCCAATATCAAAAGCAAAATTGTTTAATTAGTAATAGCTAGTTAAAAATTCACAAGAAGAACAGCTGTTGCCTTCCTTGAAGTACTGAAGATATAGTCTCTGGCAAGACACAACCTGGTATTCTTCCACAAAATACTTCTGCAACATCAGTTGTTGTTCAAGACACTTACACTGGTACTTCTTGAAGTACTGAAGATATAGTGTCTGGAAAGACACAACCTGGCAGTTTTCCACAAAATACGTCTGCAATAGAAACATGAGTCAGTATAGTACAATATTCCACAATTACCATTATAACATACTCAACTAAAAAAGATTTTTTTCTCTATTGTCATATGCTTCACTAAGTAAAATTGTCACTTAAGCCTTTCAGGGTCTGTGCCATAGATCTATGGGTTTACGTTCAGGGTCCAAACCGTAGATCTACGCCAAAATTCTAGCAGCATCAAATTTAGCGCGAAAACGCTGGTAGGCCTACATGTGAGAGAACGGGTCTGCGTAGTGTGTGTGCGCCATAAACAAAAATTCTAGGCTCCCGCATAGCATTGTGGGAACGCCGGCTCAGTTACCTTTGTTCACCATGCCTCGCCGCAAGGCAGCTCTCACTCCAATGAAAATTGGGACTCTCCTCTTCCTATCTGATAGTTCTGACTCCGATGAAAGTGGAAATGAAGACGAATTCTTTGGCTTTGATCAGTTAGTGACCGAAAGGAATGACCAGGATATCGATAATAGTGCAGAAAACCTTGGCGATCCTGAACCTTCTACCTCTGATGTGAGCACTCCTCCCCGGGCA